CTGTAAACCAAAAACGACACAAGATTAGTGAATTCATCCCTTGGTTTCATATATATAGCATGCAAATATATTGAAGTTGGAATCGGGAAGAAACCTGCAGGCGGTCCATTTATATGGGATCTTGGTTATGTTAGCATGAAGAGCTCTCTGAACGTCAGGCCTGTTGTAATATATCTCGGCGTATCTCTCCGTACACGGATCATACCCTGCAAGCTTCTTCATTACCTATCAACAAGAACAGAATCCACCGGTTAGGGCATTTGGCTCGTGTTTTTATGTATTGTTATTAATACACGAAGGAGTGAAGGAGCATATATACAGAGTGGGGAAGGTGGGGGAGACGCATGCTGCGGCGGCCATGGCCGGAGGGGCTTCCGTCGTCAGACTTATTGCAGGGCGGAGCGTAGATATTGTACTGATCGATGTTGCCAAACTCTTGCTCCATTGCGTAAGAATAGAGCGTTTCACACTCGTTGGCCTCTTTCTGACGGCTAAAGTCGCACGTGCTCATCAACTGATGGTACGTCCGGTCGGATATCATTGCATGGCTCCACCAGTAATTCACCGTTCCTAGGTTGTCGTAGTAGTTGTCCGTCACAGCGTTCCCGACCTTAAAAACGACGACATGATAAGCAAATATTCATGAAAAGAATACCCGATATGGATATAGATGAATGGGTTTTGATTAATTTTCACCATGATTCCTTTGAGATTAATGGGGTTCTTGGATCGTTTGTTGTAGATCAAGATTTCACGTGCGAGTTGAGGAACGTAATGGCCGGCGTAGCTCTCGCCGGTAATGTAGATTTCACGGCTTTTATACCGCGGGAAACGATTCAGCCATTGAATGAGAAACTGGAGCGAATCTTTAGCTGCATGCAACGCAACCGGTTAGAGAAAACCGGCGATTGCAGAAGAAGAAGAAGAGCCGGAGAAAATGGGCGTACCGGTACGGAGATCGCCGGTATTGAAGAGATCGGAGGAACGGTTGCTGTAAGAAAACCCGACACCGGCGGGAGTTTCGAGGAACAAGAGATTGGCGAGTGAGTTCCACGCGAACTTGTTCATGTACAGTCCATTTCCTGTCCTGTTTATCCTGAATGGTCCGATCTCTTCTGATGCCCCGTACGCCACCGATGAACATCCCGGTCCTGAACATTTTTTATACCGTTACATTAATATGCTTTTTTTAATCAATAATTGGCAAATAATCCGATACAAGTTGAATGAATTTAAGGAAAGAAGACAAAACGCTGCTATGTGGGGGGCCAACCCAAACTAATGCAATTTTTGGTAGTTGTGTTTTAAATGTATGCTGTCTCAATGCTCCTTCGCTTTCAAAATTATTTTTGTGTCCGGTTTTTTTCATATATATTTATACATATATGGCAACACAATGTGGACAAACTTTTCACATGATTGGATTTATTAAAACTTTGGTTTGTTAATCTTGATTTAGATAAAAGTATTTATTATATACACATTTTAATTTGCATGCATACACTACGATTTCAAAAAATATAAACATTATACGTTTTGAGAAATATCGTCATTGTAATACGCACCATATTAATATTTCATAGTTACAAAAAAAAAATCATTTAATAATGTCAAATATTATCCAAACGAAACATGTGGTCGCATAAATATTCAATGTTCGGTCTACATTAGCAGTTAGGACATCAATCACATGCTTCCATAGGCCAATAAAAATTGCTATGTATTTATATTTAACAAAAAAAACAAGTATTTAGCATATATGATAGAGATGATTATAGGATTTAAAAACGTGTTAACATGATGAAAAACAGGGTTTAAACGTTATATAATAGGGGTACATTAGCCATTAATTAAGAGTATTTAACAAAAAAAAATATGATTAAGCAACTAATTAAGAAATAGGAGTTAAATAATATATATATATATATATATGCTACCTCCGTTGAGCCAAACGACAAGAGGTTTGGAGGAAGGAAGAAGAGAAGCTTCGGTAAGCCAATAGAAGAGAGCTCTTCCGGCGACTACGTCGACAGTGACGTAGCCGGAGTATTGCTCGAACGTGACGTCGGGTTGCCCGGGAAGTGACGTAATCCTGTCCGCCTCCGCCGCTTCTTCGCCTCGTTGACTTCGTGCCCGAGAGGTTATTACCATGATGGCCAAGAGAGTGACCGAAATTACCCGTTTTGCCATCGCCATGGCAGAGACTCGAGAGAACAAAAAATGTAGAAAACAAAAAAAAGAATGAAGAGAGAAAAGTCTCTCTCTCTGTTGTGTGTCTCCGTTTGATTCGCAGCTTTCGCTTCACTCTTAAATAGAGAGAGAGAGAGAGTCATATGTGTGTAAATAAACAATTATTTGTGAGAAAAGTAAAAATAAAATGTAATAATATAGAGAAAAGATGGTTAAAAATGGACCGAAGATGTAAAATTAAATGGCACCGAAGACCCACCAATCCGATTGGCGGTAGTATCAGAATCATGACACAACTCTTCCAAAAATTTATACATACGGCAGAGCATTTAAACGCATACGTATACACGTATATATACGTCTGTATGTATCTTCACGGAATTACGATGACATTGGCGTATTCCTGATATTATTATGTCTTCCTTTTTTTTAAAAAAAAAATTGGTAAACAAATATACAAGTTTGACCATCTTTTCACGTAGCCATCATAGGAAACGTCCCTTTTAATATTCACTGATATTTTAATATATATATATATATATATATGAAAAATGACAAATGTATATCAATAAGCTACTTTATAAAAGGACCCCCAAGCCTTTTCATTGGAGAAACAAAACTTCCATGCCCTTTATAAAAAAAATGTTTTTTTAAAATATATTGTATTTTTTCGTATTATTATTTTCATAATTTCCCACATATTTCTAAACGAATCGAACACTCATGCTCGTTAGATGAACTCCTAAAGCAGGTTCTTGCACATACGTTATCCATATATCCGTTAATATAGTTATACCCTCGAACCATCAAATATTATAAGTACGTCTCATATATATAAACACAAGGAATAATTTTTAAATTAATAATAATAATCGAAACACGTGGCTATGTATGTTATATCTTGACGTGCACGCGAGGTGGTGAAAAATCCACTCAATACGTCACCACATTTACTCGCATTGACTCCATCTCTACTGCTCTCCTCTGTTGGTTCGTGGTAATTCCACATTTTTTTTTAAATTTTATTTCCAATATAATAGATGATTAAACTATATATATATATATATATATGAAATAAAGATTCTGTATAATCTTATGATAATATTCGATTTTTTTGGTTCGTACGACTATGGACAGTTCTTTTGTGTGTTTTTTTGGCATACTTTGATACAGATTTCATATTTGGAAACGTCTGACAATTACTTTAGAAGATTCTATTTACTGTGCCTACTAATTTTCTCTTTTTAATTTTCCAAATTTTGTTTCACGATATATTATAAATATACGACCACCAAATAAGGAAAAAAAAAACTGATTTTGGTTTAAAAAAATATTTAATACACACACATATATAAATACATCACGGGGACTATTTCAATTTGTGCCAAAAGTATGAAAACGTATTTTAAATTGCAGCGACGATCGTATTTAATACGTACTGACGGGGTGGTTGGCAAACGTGTACGAAATTTAAAGTACATGGTAACAGTGTCTCTAAATTATTGTAGATTAATATTATGCATTAACGAGAAAATGCAATATGAAACTCGAAATTTTTTAAAAAAGTTTTACTTAAATCGTTATAAAATATGGGAATTATTGTTATTTTATATTTCGCTTGAATTTTTAAGTATGTTGTAAATTTCGTTGAAATAATATTATATATTTCAAATAGATAAAAAAAAAAAAAAGGAACGATATTATCTTATAACTTGAGAGAAAAAGTAAAAAACTTTTAAAAAAAAAATACGTCACATCGAAAGATTAAACTTTTTCAGATATTTATTATTTGTTATTTAATGTCGGGATATTAAAATATTAATGAAAAGAAAAACATGTTGTGTTTTCAAACGCATATTTGATAATAGAAATAGAAACAAGAGTTGCGTCAGAGTAGGTGACAGTCGCACAGTTTCCTTTGATGCTTCCTCCTCTCCTCTATATGGTTCTGCTATTCCTACATGCTGTTCACTTCTCTTCTCTCACCGTCCAATCAGATGTCACCTTTCACGTTTACAAAACATGCGTGACCCCATTGACTCTTTTTTCTTCTTTATATGCAAATTAGTGCTACTAAATCTCTCTGCTTAAAAAGCCTTTAATCTACCCATTATCAATGAACTGTAGACTGTAATTTCCTACCTGAATAAGTGTTTATTGGGTCGAATATAATATATACAAGTTAACCAAAAATAATATAATAAAAAAAATATATATATATATATATATATATATATATATGTGTTATTTGACTTGGGTTTCAGGGGAGGGATAATGGGCCTGGGCTGAAATTATATATGAAATGGGCCTTATTCAATTAGTGAGGCTCTTCCGATCCATCTGAATATGGGCTTTAGGATTGCCACGTGTCGTTAGTATGTGACGATCTCATAACATGATGAATGGTAAACGCATGCATGGTTCGAAAAAACATCTTAACGAATCGAGAATTTATTGTATAAACCATCCCAATTAGGGTATCCCACAAAATCCGATTTATTCCAAATTCGCAGTTGGAAAAAAGACTGAACAAATGGCGATTAGTATATTAATTTCCGGTTATTTTCGAAAATTTATCCGACGATTGTGGTTTTATTTTTTTTAAATTTAAATTCCCGATATTTAATTAATGTTCAGTCTCAGGCTTATTTTGCTATAAATGGCGATTAGCAACAAAAAACAAATTAAGTTGCTTTAATCCAGTTAATAACCTCTGTTTAGCTCAACCTAATCCCCTTAGATTAGCTCTTAATCGTTCCCGCGCATATGTAACCGCCGTCCGAGTAACTAAGACAACGAAACTGTAACCTTCTTCGAGATGGTGTTTTTTTTTTTCCAGTTATAACGGTTGTTTCATTTTTTTTAAAAAAATTGTTCTCAGAATAAAAAATTGTATAAATAAGAACAAATTTCACCCTTTCCCCCCTCTCTTCGAAGATTATAATAAAGATAAAAAAAAAAATCTACTCCTAGCTCTTAATCATTTTCCATTATGGATTATGGAAAAGGGAATCGGAAGGAAGAGGAGATGAAACGATGGGAAGATTCAGATTCGTCGTGTTCGTCAGATTCGTCGGAAGGGCACATCATTCTGGGCAAAAACATTCCTCGTCCGACGACTACTTGCATGTCGGCGGCTCAGGGGGGGAAGAAGAAGAAGAAGAAGGAGCCAGCCGCCGCCACGATCTGCTCTGCGCCGTGTTTATCATCCTCTTCCCAGATTAACCAGTTGATCGGTATGCCCGGTTATGACCCTAACCGGATCCCTGCCTCGGTCTTCTCCGGTAGACCCAGCAATCCGATGGATTGGAGCTTGGCTTCTAATGATTCTTTGTTCAGCATTCATATGGGCAATTTTAGTTTCTCCGGGGACCAGGCTTTGGCCGCACTGGCAAGGTCCGGCGAAAAACAGAAATCCAGTTCCAACCCGGTTCCTCCTTCGGTTAGAGATCCAGACACCTTTGAGGAGATGAAACCTGAATTAACTGACAAGAACATGAAACAAGGGGAGGTATCGGATGATGAAGGCGGGGGTGATGAGGAAATAAGGGAAGAAGAAGGAGACGAGGTTATTGAGCCCGGTAGCGATGACGGGTCAGAGATTTCGGCCGAAACCAACAGGCAAGAAGACGAAGAAGGTGATGATGATGAACAGCAGATGCAAGAACAAGGAGGAGAGAATGAGATCGTGGAGGAAGAAGATGATGACGAGGTGAATGAGAAAAAGCCGACGAATCCAAGTGACGTGACCCACTCTACGAGCATCTCTTGTCGTTCGGACACGAGCAACAACAGCAACTGTTCTTTTGCATTTCCAGTGTACGTGGTTTGACCTACATCAACAATTACGTATCTCACATGCATATATATAAACCCTAAACCCTAAAATTATTTCTTTTTTTTTTTCTTGTTATGGATGGTATAGAATGGAGAGCGAGAACGGAGTGAAAACCCCGTATACGCAAACCCACGTTAATGGTTCCAAGAAAACGCGGCCTCAAAAGGAATTCTCTCAATCGCCATTGCAGCACCAGCACCAGCAAACGCAAACGCAAACGCAGTCGCTTCATCCCCAATCGCAGACGCCAGAGTTGCCTGAGGCGGAACCACATGGGAAACAACGATCAAAAGAGGGTAAAACGCAACCGCTAAAATCTCCTATATTCCGATGGTTCTCCTGCTTCTATTTCCCCCTACGATGTTGTTGATCCACGTAGAAACCCAATAACATACATTAGACAAATTTAAAATTCAGTAATTTCGCACGATCTTATTTATTGATTGTAGAAAAATGCGTACATGTAAACAAGTAGGGGAGCAAAAAGAGGTGTGAATACGCAAAAAGTAGGGATTTTTATTTAAAATAATTGATGATGTATATATTATGTCATGCTGATGTATGCATGTGACTGATTCACCATGCATAATCGATCCATGCATCACATTGATTTTAAATAACATAACACACAAGATATTGTTCACCATAAAGCTAACTTTATTGTTTCATATGATAATTGAAAAAAAATGTTATTATTTTAATTTATTTTCCCTCAAACGTGGCCGATGTGTTTTTGAAACATGAAACACAGCTTGTTTGTACAGTTCGCTGTCGCTGCTTTATCTTGAAATCTTCTATTATTTGTCAAGAAAAAAGGGGTTATGTCCCTTTTTAACTTCAAAAAAAAAAAAAATCCAATGCTAAAAAGAAAGAACGTTCCCAATACAAAACTAACAATTTTTTTTCATATGTATAAGTTTTCTTAAATAAAATAATTATGAATATAGATCAACTTTTCAAAAAAAAAAAAACATTTTCATATAAAACTTTTCAAATTTAATAAAAATATTTTAGCATCCCCGATATTATTTTTTGTATTTATGTCCTCACGTCCTTCAATTAAAAAAAAAAACTTTTTAGATGCATCAACGCGTTAGATTTTTTTTATTTTTTATAATATGATTCGTAATAACTGCATTGAATATAAAATGGCGTGATGAATATCGTAACTCACAATGAATCAATGATTCTCTGATCTCGTCCAAAAACTACAAGACATTGGTTAATGCTGCCGTCATAAATACGATTCTTTTGCATATTCTATCTATTTTATTGGGAATTAAAAAAATGACAAATTTTGTAATTAGCCGAAAATTGCACTAGACACTGAATTTGTATTTATTTTATTTGATTATTAAATTGGGTTTTTGTTTTTACTGTGATCGATGAAGTTGCTTTATTTTCCTAGATAGAAAATGATCCATTAAATTTCACTATCTCACAAGCGTATAAAAAAATTAATGTCCCAAATTCAAAATTCCATGATGGAAAATTCAAAAACAGTAGATTGGGCTGAGAATATTAATTGGAAATTAGTTTAATAATTAGTACCCAATGGGATTATGGGAGTTTAACACAATGGACCCCACGCATCTCCTTCTGGACAAAACCGAATTTAATAATTACTTGTTTTTTTTTTTTCCTTGACAAAAAATATCACCAAACATTTTAGATTTGTGCTGAGAGAAAAAAAAGGGAAGATAGAGAAGGAAAAAACGCGTCTTCCTCAGTCACAGTGTTGACCTCTCTCTCTCTCATCGTCTCTTCCCTTTCTGCTTCCCCTGTCTCTCTCTCCAAGAGCTTCTCGCCATACCCTAAATTAGGGTTAGGGCTAGGGTCTGGGATCATTTTTTTCACGGGAGGAAGAAGGATCTTTCAGTCGACAGTCGGAAATTTGGAGAATTGCGAGGTGGGTTTAGGGTTTTTGACGGAACATTTTGGGGGAAGCTACAGAAAATGGCTTCTTTGCCATCTTCAGTGATCAAATGGCGATTTTTCCGCAGACCCATGTCTTCAAACATGGTACTTTCGGTCTGTTGGCTATGTATCGTAAGTCTTCTCTCCGGCCACGACACGGTCTCGGCGGATTCGGACAAATCGGTTCTGCTCCGGTTCAAGGACTCGGTCTGGGACCCGGACTCGGTACTCGCTAGCTGGCGCGTGGATAGCGCGGATTACTGCTCCTGGTTTGGCGTTTATTGTGATTCGAGCTCACGAGTCGTCGCTCTTAACATCAGCGGCTCTGGGAGCGACAAGGGTAGCTTCGGCGGAAACCGGAACCGTTTCACTTGCAGTGATTTTGGTAAGTTCCCGCTGTATGGGTTTGGTATTAGGAGGGATTGTGCCGGAAGTCGTGGAGTTTTGGCGGGGAATTTGCCTTCTGTAGTCTCTGGTCTCGCAGAGCTTAGGGTTTTGTCGCTTCCCTTCAATGGCTTCCACGGAGAGATTCCTGTTGCAATCTGGGGGATGGTGAAGCTGGAAGTTCTCGATCTGGAAGGGAATCTGGTTTCGGGGTCGTTACCGGCTCAATTTGCTGGGTTACGGGATTTGCGGGTGCTGAATCTAGGGTTCAACAGAATTTCAGGGGAAATACCCGATTCCCTTAAGAGCATGCCAAGATTGGAGATTTTGAACTTGGCTGGAAACAGAGTGAATGGAACTGTTCCCGGCTTTGTCGGGAGATTCAGGATGGTTCACTTGCCATTGAACTGGCTTCACGGTTCTTTGCCGGAAGACATTGGGGATAGCTGTGGGAGGCTTGAGCATTTAGACTTGTCTGGTAATTTCTTCACAGGACGGATTCCACGGAGTTTTGGGAAATGCCATGAGCTAAGGTCATTGCTGCTGTATATGAATTTGCTGGAGGAGACTATCCCAGTCGAACTCGGGAATCTTCAGAAGCTTCAAGTGTTGGATGTTTCGAGGAACAGCCTTAGCGGTCCATTGCCAGTCGAGCTGGGGAACTGCTCGTCTCTGTCTGTGATCGTACTCTCGAATCTGTATAATGTGTATGATGACATTGACAGCGCCAGAGGAGGAGGAGATGGTAATCTTCCACCAGGCTTGGACATGACCTCGATGACAGAAGATTTCAACTTTTTCCAAGGTGGAATCCCGGGAGAAATCGCTAAGCTTCCAAACCTAAGGATATTGTGGGTGCCGAGAGCTACGCTCGAGGGAAGATTGCCGGAAGACTGGGGTTCATGTGACGGTTTGGAGATGGTGAATTTAGGTCAGAACTTCTTCAAAGGTGAGATTCCCTTTGGGCTCAGTTCGTGCAAGAATCTCCGGCTTCTGGATTTGAGCTCGAATATGCTTTCAGGCCAGCTGCTCGACGAGCTCTCGGTTCCCTGTATGAGTGTATTCGATGTAGGCGGGAACAGATTCTCGGGACTGATCCCAGCTTTCGGTAACAGCTCTCGTTGCCCTCCCATCGTTTTCTTTGACGGGTATTCCGTCGAATCTTACGATGATCCATCATCTGTCTATCTCTCCTTCTTCACCCAAAAGGCCCAAGTCGGGAGTTATCTGACGTTTCTTGGAGGCGATGGAGGTCCAGCTGTTTTTCATAATTTTGCAGACAACAACTTCACTGGAACTCTCCGGTCTATTCCCATTGCGAAGGAGCGGTTGGGGAGGCGAGTCTCTTACATATTTTCGGCCGGAGACAATAAATTGTATGGTCAGTTCCCGGGATATTTATTCGACAAGTGCAGCGGACTTGAGGCTCTTTATGTCAATATTAGCTTCAATGAGCTTTCGGGATGGATTCCTGAAGACATCGGCAAAATGTGTGGTTCTCTCAAGCTTCTCGATTTGTCGCTGAATCAGATTTCCGGGTCTATTCCATCTGCTGTTTCCGATCTAGTTTCACTCATTGCTCTTAATCTCAGTTGGAATCAGTTGCAGGACCAGATACCCGAAGAACTCGGGCAGATGAAGGGTTTGACATATCTCTCATTTTCTAATAATAACCTCACAGGACAGATTCCAGCGAGTTTCGGTCAGTTGCAATCTCTGGAAGTTCTCGATCTCTCTTCGAATGATCTTTCAGGTGGCATTCCTCGTGATCTCGTAAACCTGAGAAATCTCTCGGTTCTGCTTCTCAACAACAACAGGCTTTCTGGGCAAATACCTTCGGGTTTTGCGAATGTGACGGCTCTCTCGGTTTTCAACGTTTCATTCAACAATCTGTCGGGACCTGTCCCTTCGACCAATGGATTGACGAAATGCAGCAGTGTTCTTGGAAACCCGTACCTCCGACCTTGCCACGTCTTTTCTCTGACAGTACCGTCCTCGGATCCGCATGGGGCTCTCGGGGATTCTCAAGATTATGCAGCTACCTCACCCGTTGGAAACAGCCCTTCACCCCGAGGGAAGGTCGGTTTCAACTCGATAGAGATCGCTTCCATCGCCTCGGCTTCAGCCATCGTCTCGGTGCTTGTGGCTCTTCTGGTACTGTTCTTCTACACCAGGAAATGGCACCCGAGATCGAAGATCATGGCCACGACCAAGAGAGAAGTCACGGTATTCATGGATGTAGGAGTCCCTTTGACGTACGACATTGTCGTTAGAGCCACTGGAAACTTCAACGCGAGTAACTTGATTGGGAATGGCGGATTCGGAGCTACGTACAAAGCGGAAATTGCTCCTAATGAGTTAGTCGCCATCAAAAGGCTCTCGATTGGACGGTTCCAAGGCATCCAACAGTTCCACGCTGAGATCAAAACCCTAGGAAGGCTCCGACACCAAAATCTCGTCACCCTCATCGGTTACCACGCAAGCGAGACCGAGATGTTCCTCATATACAACTATCTTCCCGGAGGAAATCTTGAGAAATTCATCCAAGAGAGATCGACGAGAGCCGTGGAATGGAGGGTTCTTCACAAGATCGCTCTTGACATAGCCCGAGCCCTCGCGTATCTCCATGACCAATGCGTTCCTCGGGTCCTTCACCGGGACGTTAAGCCGAGCAACATCCTCCTGGACGATGATTACAACGCATATCTGTCGGATTTCGGGTTGGCCAGGCTCCTCGGGACGTCGGAAACCCATGCGACGACGGGAGTGGCGGGTACGTTCGGGTATGTGGCACCGGAGTATGCGATGACGTGCCGGGTTTCGGACAAGGCGGACGTGTACAGTTACGGGGTGGTGCTGCTGGAGCTGCTGTCAGACAAGAAGGCGCTGGACCCGTCGTTCGTGTCGTACGGGAACGGGTTCAACATAGTGCAGTGGGCGTGCATGCTGCTGAGACAGGGGCGAGCGAAGGAGTTTTTCACGGCCGGGCTATGGGACGCTGGCCCGCACGACGATCTCGTCGAGGTTCTTCATTTGGCTGTGGTCTGCACCGTCGATTCTCTCTCGACCAGACCGACGATGAAGCAAGTGGTGCGGCGGCTCAAGCAGCTTCAGCCTCCGTCGTGTTAAAAAAAAGGTTTTTTTTGTTGTCGTTGTTGTGGTTAAATTCGGGGTTTGGTAATGGAGGAAGTAACAGTGTGACTTTGTGTAGTAGGAGGATGGATGGATGGATGGTCCTGTTGTAATTTCAGCGATATGACGAGGACAAAAGAGTCATCGGACCATTGGAGAGAGATAGGGAGAGAGGAGGGGTTTCCACTCTTTTAGGTGAGGAAAAAAATAGGGTATTTTGGAAAATTGAAGTGAAACAAAGATTTAAGAATTGTAGCTATTTATTTTCCACTTGTAAATTTGTGATATATAGATTTTTCTCAAAATGGCTTCTCCCTTTTCCTTTTTTTTTTTAAATTATTTTTTGTTTCAGTCTCTTGTGTTGAATGATTTTATAAAATTGAACAAAATAGTAATAAAATAAAAATATTTATTTAGTTAGAAAGAGGAGGAGGTGTAACAACGATGTGCCTAAGAGGGTTAAGAAGGCGGTTGCCGGCGCGGGAGCCGCCGTGGCAGAGGAACTCGGAGGGGGAGAGGAAGAGGCCGTGGCATACGCACACGATCCTCACATCCTCCCTTCCGCCGAACCAGTAGAGAAAGCCCTCCACTCGCTTGCCGTCGGGCCCCGCCTCCCTCGTCCTCACCATCGGCATCTTCTCCAGAATCTTCCTCGCCCTCCTCCCTTCTCTCTCTTCTTCGCCCTTCCCTGCGTTTTGTTTTGTTACCAAACAATCTCAGTTTTCTGTGTAAAGTGTCAGTCTTTCCAAAATGCGCCAATGTTATATATATACATGCATGTATACTTGAAAAAGTTGGAAACTTTAAGCAGAGGGAAAACATATCTACCATGGATATCATCAGATCCACTGTTACTGCAACCGCCATTGCTACCCCTCGTACCACCATGGCCGTTTCTTTCAATGCTCCGACACTCTCCGCCGTCGTCCTCGTTGTTTCCGACATGGGTATCCTCCCTCGGACGTGGGGGAGTGTCCGATTCCCGAAATGCCCTCGTCTTCTCCGACCTCTTCCTCCTCTCCTCCACCCTCCGCCGCCGCTCCTCCTCCGTCGAATCCACCGGCAGTGACAGCGTCCGAGTCATCTGGAACAGGTCCGAAACCCTTGGAACCATCGGAGGCCGAGTCTCCCCGGCGGTGAAGCCCTCCGGTATGGAAGACGACCGAGTCAAATCGGAACTCTTCCTCTTCCTCGATCCCGGGTCAGTGCCGAATCGTCCGTTCGACGACAGACCTAGACTCAGTTCAATGGCGTCCCCTTCTTCTTCTCCTCCACATCCGTTGGCATTGCCAGGGTTTCTGTAACAGATGTGCTTGTTCGTGACGACGACCCTCTGCAAGCCATTCGCAGGCGGGTTCGGGACTCGCACGACGCCGTTTTTGTTTGCCATCTCCATTAGCCAATTCCGGTGGTAAAACTCCTCTCTTTTTTTTAGTGGGGGGACCAAAAAAAAATTCAGAACTTTAGCTGAGAGAATTCGGAGGAGAATGATAATATTTTTTTTGTTGTGGAGATTTATTTTCATTTCAGGGCGAATTATAGGTTTTGAGAGAGAAAAAAAAAAGTTGTAAAAAGAGTACCATTAATAACCAAAAATACTACAACTTGCAATATTTTACGTCTTCGAGTTTAAATTATTTTAAAAGCATGACTATTGGGACATAATGGTGTATGATCATCCATTAAAATATATGTTAAGTATTGATAATTGCATATGGTGAATATATTGTGTTAATTAATTAAATCGCAATTAATTTCTTCATTATTTTTTAATCTCTCCATGTTAATGATCAAAGACGACGACCACCCACCTCGACACGTGGAAAGGGTAGCGACTGGGTCGCTTAGCGTAGCGGTAGGCTGGTTGTTGATGCGCGATATGACACGTGTCTAATTATCGGAGAGAAGACCCTGACTAATGTACTTCTGCCACGTGGATCCAGCGTGACTGGGCCCTTCATGTGGAAAAATGCACGTTACGGACGACTCCATCTGTATAATAATAATATCACAATTAAATTGGTATCTGATAATACGTTGATTTCTTATTAATTTGTAGAGCTGATGTTTGAACCGGATTTTTTTATTATTTTATTTATTTTCTCTCTCCATGAAGACGAGAGTGGGACCCACAAGGTGGCCAAGTTGCATATATTACATTTATATCCCTTATAAACATATTTCAGCACGTGAAGTTGACTCATGCCACGTGTCGGATGGAAACGACAACACGTGTCGGCTCAGGATTTTTGCTTCTTGACAACAGTAAAGCAAGTGGCCAAGTTGCAGGGCCCAGTGGACTTGGCGAAACATATGCGTGTATGTACAGTTTGGGGTTTTTACAAATATATGGGCCTATGAATCATTTAATGGGCCTTGCATTGGGCCGAGTATTATTATGTACGTGTCATCAAAACTAGAAAAGATTTTTAAGTATATACACAAAAACATTCGATATATATATATGTATGCATGTATGTATAGCTTTTAAGGTGATTGCACGGTCACGGCGTCCCTATCCGCTCCTCCGTGACGTTATTATTCCCCCTTTTCTTCTCTATAAATAACACTCGAAAGTCGAGAAACTGCGCTCTCCCACTCTCGCTCTCCTCCTCTCTCCAGATCGAAGGGTTTAAGCTGGGTTTAAGCGAATTCCAAACCCTAACTTTCTCGGTTTTCTAGTTCCACTCCATTTCTCGGTTCCTCTCTTTCTTTGATCTCGCCATCAATTTGGCTTCTTGTCTAGGGTTTTCACCTGGTTTTGCCGCCGGAGCTCGTTGGTCACTCTTTCTCGCTGTTTCTGCTGCTTTTCGGGTTTTACAATGGAGGAGGCTTCTTCTCTGGTAAGCGCTTGAGCTTTCCTTGATGTAATTTACCCACTATTTTCGGTTTTGCTTTCTTTTGTTCTTGTGGCGACTGAACCCGGCAAGCTTCTAGGGTTTTTGCTGCGGTTGAGTACAATTATTGCTCCGATCAAAATCGATATTTAATTTGGTTTTACTCCCTTGCTTGCTTTTCGCGAGTGGGTTTCTTCGGCTGTCTTTGATGTTTTGCCCTTTCTAATTGCCTTTAGGTGCCGAGAAGAGAATTTCACGGCAAATGAGTTGATATTGTGTTCCCGAGGGATGAGGATATCGTTGGTTTCACTCAAGAGATGGTTCTACATGTTACGTTGGAAAAAGTTGTAAGAGAGATTGAATATGAGCAATGGAGGTGGGGAGAGTGGATGTCAGCAAAGAGAATTACACGTCAAGAGAAAGTTTCACAGAAATGATTTTGCTTATGCAGTCGCAAGATTGGCCGTGGCACAGACGTGCGAGAGCGTTGAGATTAACACATTACAAGAATCACAGGTGCACGAGGGAGTGAGGTTCAATTCTTTTCAAGAGTCTGCTCTTGAAACACTAACTGATGTAGTGGTCCGATATGTCCAGAGCATCGGTAAGACTGCGCTTTTGTATGCTAATATGGCTGGTAGAACAGAAGGTAATGCTTTAGACGTTGTTCAAGCGCTGGAAGATTTAGGCTCTGGGTTGGGTTTTGCCGGTGCTTCTGATATTGACCAATGTCTTACTGATTCAAGCGTAGTAAAGGACTTAATTCGTTATATTGGAGAAGCGGAAGAGATGCCATTTGCGTATTCTCTTCCCTGTTTCCCAATTGATAAAGGGAAAAGACTAGCTCCTAGCTTTTCTGAAATTGGAGCCGAGCCTCCTGAGGAGCATATTCCTGTTTGGCTTCCTGCATTTCCTGAAACCAAGATCCCTATTCAGCCAGAGGTGGGGAATGAGAGAGCTCTTGATGGTGATTCTGGTAAAGCTGAACTGGATATGCAGAGCAAAGAACAGGGATATGCTCATTTAACAATGCAGCGGTCTTCCCGTGGTGATGGGCTAGAATTTCACAAATCTGTTCAAGTGGATGTTGAAAAATCAACAGGAGAAGCGAAAGGTAACCCGTTTCTTGCTTCACCTCTTAGATTTGGGGAGAAGGAAGTATCACTTGTTCTCCGCCCTGCAGAGCTTTCAAATGTAGTAGCTAGCATCAATCACGATCCTAAAATCCATACGTCCAACAATCTCGTTCCATTGCTTGAGGCATTTGCTCCAGCTAATGAGATTGCAGAGAAGAGATCTGAATCTGAGGATGGGGAGAAGAAAGAGCCTGCAAGAACACGGCAGCTGGTGCATTTCAAGATTGGGACTCGGAAGACATCTATGGGTTGGCCAGTAAACCGAAATTTGGAGGACAAGAATAATGAGAAAGTTGCCGCTTGGTTTCGGGATGACGATGAGAAGAACGAGAAGAAGCCAGAAAATGAAGGAAATTTTGAAACGATGACTGAGGGGCTGACTGAGATGTAAAATAGGTATATGTGATTAGGATTTGTACACATTCAAGGAACTATTAGGCGGAATATTTGCTCCCCAGGCATCCAAAGCCAAGATAGTGATAGGTTGCACTGAATACACGTGACTTTTAGGGAA